GCACATTTGAAGGAGCTGGACAGCAAATGTGCAAATGACAGCGAGACTTAAAGCCGGTACGCATGACCTGCAGAATACTTAGGTACCAAGTAAACAAATCAACAACAACGAAAACTGAAGGATCGCGTAAATCCCCGATTAGGGCTCCGGTAGTGATTGGCCAAGACTGACGGCCTTTCCCGATCCGGGAGGCTCCACTTCCATGTCATCCACTCAGGAGCCCAGATTTTCAAGCTCGAGCCACAAAATGGCCTTCCCCGGTCAACGCAAGCTCGGCCAAGCTCACCCCTGTCGAAAAACAAATACACCCCGGTACCTGACCGGGTTCGACCCTTGGGCCTTGGCTGGCTCGGGCGGCGGGCAGCCCTGGCCCCTCTGCACGTTGGAGGCGGCAGCACACCACGCTTGCTGCAGCTTCTCGTTGCAACCATCGGGCTGCTGCTGCTGCTGCACCCTTTCCTCTCTTCACTGACTTTTCTCTCCTTCCAGCCGGAGACGTCCTGTCGTCGTCGCCTCCATTCTTTCCAGCGTTCGAATGTCGGCCCTCTCCCTCTCCCTGGGGAACTAACTAAACGACCCCTCGAGGCAATTGACTTGTCTTGTTGAGTGTCTGTTCTTGTCACTGTAAGCTTTGGCACTTTCAACCCTCAAGATCCACGTCTGCATCACCGGGCAGGACGCCCAGCAGTTGTCGGGGGGAACCTGGAGAGAGTGGGACTGAACTCAACTGACTTTGTTTGGCATGCAGCTTTCAACCCACATATCCCTCCCCTCTATTTTTCTCCATCCGACTTGCGCGTTTCGCATTCAAACTTCACATCTTGCGCCTTGCGCCTTCGTCTCTCGACTTTTACGCCTCTCCCTCGTCGGGCTCTCCTTCCGGCATCCAGACCGCCTGCCCGGGTCTCTGACCGACCAGGAACTCCCAGGAACTCCCCACGTTCACCGACACAAGCACAAGATCGAAAACCGACCGACCGATGCCACCATTTTATTTCTAGTTCGCCCCACGATTTCTTCTCGCAGCTATCCCCCTCTCGTCGGCCAATGGCTATGAGGAGACATGGCATCCACTCCCTCGAACCGGCTTAAGCTCACGCCGGCCAATTCGCCGTTCCTGTCCCGCCCGTCGAGGTCGCCAATCAGGTCCCGCCAGGTCTTCGACACATGCCTGTCCCTCCGCCGCGTGGTTGGAACGACGTGCACCTCGCCTACTGGCTTCGATGCCGTACACTCGTCGTTCGCCTATATCGCCGGAGGGGCCGTCGTCGTGGTCGATGTCTCGGGCGAGCACTACTCGCAGCGCTTCTTTCGAGCACGCCCATCCGCCATTCCCGTCTTCGCTGTCACCCCCGTGTCGCAAGCCTCTTCGACGCCCAACTCTACGCCCAAAGCCAACGACAGCAGAAACCGGGCCGCCGCCTCCCCGCGCGACTCGCTCTACGGCGGTCACGACTGGTCAGACTCTCCGAGCTCGAGGACATGGACAAGCAGGGAGCGCATCAAGGCGGCAACATGCCTGGCGCTGAGCCGGGATGGACGATACCTCGCCGTGGGCGAGACGGGCTATGCCCCGCGCGTGCTCATCTTTAACCTCCAAGAATCATCCTCCGATATCCCACTCGTGTCCATCAGCGAGCACATGCATGGCGTCAAGGCCGTGGCCTGGTCCGAGGACACGAGATATCTGGCATCGCTTGGCGCGGCAAACGACGGCTTCCTCTATTTGTGGAAGATCGATCCCCGCACCGGCTCCGCCAAACTTTTCCAGCAAAACCGATGCACCTCGTATATCAAGGGCATGGTGTGGATGGGAAATAGTCTCATCACCCTGGGCGTTCGCCACGTCAAGGTGTGGAGGGTGGAGGACCCCATGACCCCTTCTCCGACCAAGCAAAAGTTTGCCGGCGATGGATCTTTTCCTGTCATTCAGCCAGCCCAGAAGCCCCTCGCAGGCAGAAACATCTTGCTCGGGTCCATGCTGGAGGCGACCTTTAGCTGCGCCATCCCCATTGCCGACGAGAAGGCCATCATCTGCTCAGAAACGGGCAGCGTGTGCCTGCTCGACGACACCAACCGCCAGATGAAGCTGACCAAGATCCTGGACATTGGTTTTCCAATCAGCTGCGTGTGCAGCAGGAACGAAGACATTTATATCAGCGGCAAGAACGGCCAGTTCGCCGTCCTTGGCCTGGAGGGGATCTTGAACGGTTCCCCCACCTTGGACATTCACGCGTCCCAGTCGGCCAACGGACTCATGGCCATGGGATTTCTGGCGGAGAATCTGGTCACCATTGATACCAAACGCTCCATCGATATCTGGAGCCCCAATCACATCCCGGGGAGCTCAGAGAGCGACAGGAACCACATTCCGATCCCAGGTCCTGGAGACCAGATTGTTGGTATTCAGCGGCTTTCCGAGCAGAACACGCTGGGGGCCGCCTTCTTTACCTGGTCTGGATCTGGAAAGGTCAACGTCTGGGATACAGAAGGGATGATCAAGTCGTTTTTCGACATTCCCATGGAGCAGGTGGACCCTTCCAGCGATTCGGACATCATCAACCAGGTGGTAGTGGTGAGAGCCACTGAGGATGGGCGTCTCTTCGTGGCAGGCGACAAGCTCGGCATGCTTCGGATTATCGACACGGCCACCAAGCAATGTGTGATGGAGACGAAAGCGCACGCGAAGGATTGCGCCGATATTACCATTTACGAAAACAAGACGAAAGTCCTGGTAGCCTCCTGTGGTAGGGACCGCACCGCTCAACTTTTCCACAAATCATCGACGGGGAACTTTGAGCACTTTCAGACGCTGGAGTTTGGCGCAAAGGTCGTCCAGGTCCTCATTCCCTCCGACGACAAGATCTTGACGTGTTCCCTGGACCGAACTCTGCAAATCCACGATCTCGTCACCAAGGACGGAGAGCCGGATGCGATTGCGGCCATCCCATACAAGGTGCTGTCGCTGAGGGCCTCGCCATCGTCCATGGTGATGAGTCCAGACGATAAATTCGTCTTTGTTTCTCTTTTGGACCGTTCCGTCTGCCAATTCGAGTGCTCCTCGGGCCGGCTCGTCACGTCCTTCAAGTGCAACGACGAAGGGGGTCTCGAGTCTGCCGTATTGGAGTCTCTTATCTATGGTCAGTTCGGAAACGGTGGTCTCTCATTTATTCTAGGGTTATCAAATACGGACAAGTCCATCAGGCTTTACGACGCACTCACCGGTGCCTTTCTGGACCGGGAGTGGGGCCACACGGAAGCCATCAACGGCGTGGCCATGATGGACTCGGACGAGGCTGGGCGCAGGGTGGTCAGCGTGGGCGAGGATGGCACCATCATGATTTGGGCTCTGGATCTTCTGGACCCGGTGGCTGTTTCTAGGTTCCGCGATCCCTCTCCGGAGAAAGTCAGCAGCCCCGCCTTCAACCGACCCCCGCTGAGAAGGGTGCTCTCGAGAGCCGAGCTGGCCGAATTCCAGCGGCCGAGCTCCAACCACGGGAGACGCTCCCCGCCCCGACCCATGCAGAGACGGCCATCGAAATTTCAGCTCTCGGCGTCGTCATCGATACGGACGCCGATCGCAGCCGAGAAGCAGATCAGCCCAACGAGCACCATACGCGAGAGAGAGAGCACACCCTGTCGGCGTGTCTCGTCAGGGGGCAACAGCGCCCCGGGAAGTCCACCACCAGAGAGCCCGAAGAATCGGGCCAGAATGTTTCGGCGGCCTTCCCTTCCCGTCCTGAAGACGCCCTCTTCGACTGTCTCGTCGAGGAAGAAGCCGGGCGGGACCACACGAGGCAGCTATGGGTTTGGGAGTCTCAGCATGGCGACGGAGCAGACATGCCGCCAGCTGCGAACGTACCGGAAGAAGTTGATGTCGACAGACCCCATCAACGCGGACGTTTTGGCTCAGCTAGACGCAGAGCTGCGGCTCACCGCCGCCGCGCTTGGCGAGAGGGCCATTCGAAGCCGCAGTAACAGGGTGGAAGAGGAGCGGCCCAAGGGCGTCAGCGAGACGGTGCTGAGCGGTCTCTTGGACCAGTACAGCGAGCGGCTGGTGACGATGCTGGATGAGAAACTCCGGCTGAGGCTGAGCGAGGAGGAAAAGGAATCACTGATCCGGGAGCGGCCGAGAACTGCGGGCGAGGGTTCTAGCAGGAGCTCCAACTCGCCAGCCTTGTGCACCGAGCCGGAATCGATCTAAGAGGGGTTGCTCATCGGTGTCGAGATGAGGAGGACGAGGCAACGCACCGGGGGGGGCAGGGGACGGGGAAACACACAACAGGAGAGATACCCATTCTGATTTACGTGGCTTGGCGGATTGTATTAGTCTTTGGGGTTGGCAGGGAGGCTCTGCCTAGGCTTTGCTATTGGGGCGCGGGCTCTTTTGTTTTGACAGCGGGACGGATGGGGTTCAACGGCAAGGCAGATCGCCTTTTTCCTTAGATTCAAGGGCGGTGGATATCGGTCTATTTTGGCTGCTTGGTTGGCAGAGCGGAGCAAAAGGAGTCACTGGGCCGGGCGGGAATTTTTATTTGCGTATGTGCAGAGCAGAGGTTAGGAGTAGTTCTGGAGTGGAACAGGGGGGCAATATAAGACTGTCATCAGCCTTACCACCGTTTGAAGTCTGGTCTTGCTGTGTGCAATGGCGGTCTTTGGAGAGATGAAGTGACTGATCAATGCTCGCAATGATTGATGAGGCAGAATCATCTCTGGCACAAGTCGCCCGTAGCATTTGTGAGATCTTGCCTTTCACCCCAAACTGAAGTCCCTAACTGAAACCCCTAATGCCCTGACATTCCCCCCTCCCTGACATGCCCCTCCAAATGCCAACCCTTGAACCCACAAGCCCACAAAGGACGAAAAAAACAGGCAATTCAAAACCTCAAAATCCCCTCACCCTCCACTCTTTGCATGACCCCGTCCCGCTCCAGCACCATTGAAATACCCCAATACCCGCCCCCACTCCAACAATTCACCCGGACTCTGTCAGCAAACAAGCCCGGCTAGCTCAATCGGTAGAGCGTGAGACTCTTATCCACGGGTTCTCTCCAGTGTACATCTCAAGGTTGTGGGTTCGACCCCCACGTCGGGCTCAATTCCCGTCTGCGATTGATACGAGTTCTTTTTTTTTTGGGTGGTGTCTCTCTGTCCCCGTCCATCCCGAAGATTTCTGCAAAGGCATGACGCAGTCGGTTCCTTTTTTTTTGCCAATGCAACCTACCTCGTCATCGTCCGTCATGTCGGGATGCCACCACCACTTGATCCAAATGGGTACCTTTGTCCGCGCAGGCAAACGGGCAGGCACGCAGGCAAGCAACGCACGTAATGACGCCCGAAACGAATCCATCCCAACATCAACACCCAACACACACACAAAGCCCGGCTAGCTCAATCGGTAGAGCGTGGGACTTTTAATCCCAAGGTTGCGGGTTCGAGACCCGCGTGGGGCGTTGGGACGATTTCTCATCTTTTTTGGTGACGCGGTGGTTTTCTTTTGTCTGCATTTCACAGGCATCTTCCTTAACGTTGATGAGGTCCTTCTTCTTTTTTTCTCTGCCGGGTGTTTCCATTCCCAACGAGGATGATGCCGGCGTCAAGACAGGTTGGTTGGAAAGGAAAGCGATTTCGCAGTGGAGTGAGTGGGTTGGGGGCAAAGGTTTGTTTACACCCCCTGAACGACCAGTCGCTTCAGCCGACCCCCCCCCCCCCCCGGTGGGAATTGAAGTCGGCGCAAAAAAAAACCACAATATAATTCCACACGCTATAGTAGACGATATACCCTATCAGTCAAGCCAAAAGTCCAATCCCAGAAAACCCCCACCCAGCACGTCCAAAATCACCACCAATCCAACCCATTACCGCTGATCCCCAGCCCCGTCTCCCCTCCCGTCTGCCCCCATTGACCTCCCCCCATCCACCCCCCTTCATAGCCCCCCATCTCCCCCAACTGACCTCCGCTTCGGCCAGCCCCAGCTTGCGCTTGCGCTTCCAGTCGCTCTCGCTCATCCTCCGCCCACAACTCCTCCGCCCGCAAATAATCTCTCGCTCTCTCCAACCACCCATGGTCAACCCTCACTCCGTCTCGCTCATCGTCCGCCTGCAGCCAATTTATCGCCCTCTCCGCCCACCACAGGTCTCTCACATCCCCACTCCGCTGTCCCTCCCTGCGCAGTCTCAACCTTGCCCTCCAGTAGCCATCAGCCCACCGATTCGCCTCTCCGTCCCGCCCATGCCCCTGGACCTGTCCCCCGCTCGGCTCGGCGACGGGCGCGGGGGGCCTCTCCATCGACCCCCTCGTTCTCAAGGCTCTCTTCTGTCTCATCCTCCTTGTGTTCCGGTCTCCGCCCTCTCTCATCCGAGACCCAGCCCACCTAGCCGCCCTCCGGTCTCCGCCCTCTCGCATCCGAGCCTCCGCCCACCTGGCCGCCCTTGGAAACCGCCCATGCCTCCGGGCCGGTCTCACGCTCGGCAAGATGACGGCGGGCGTCGGGGCGAGGGTGGACGAGGAGGAGATGGAGGGGGACGGGCTGCCGACGAGGGTGGTGGCGTCGTCGTCGTCCTAGTCGGAGAGGCCGTCGGAGAGGAAGGAGAGCGTGTCGGCGTCGTCGTCGGAGAGGCCGTCTACGAAGAAGGAGAGGGTGGTGAACTCGGTGAAGGGTGTCAGGTTGTCGATTATGCCCGCGTGGTCATCGTGCGGGCGGAGGAAGTGGTAGGGCTGCGGGGCGGTGGGCACCGTGATTGTTGGTGGGAGGGTGATGGGCGGCGCGATGATTGTTGGTGGGGGGGCGTCGGGGTCGGATAGGGAGGTGTTGGAGGTTTCGCCGTCGGAGGCGGAGGTGAAGAGCGTGTTGCCGGAGGTGGATTCCTCGCTGGGGGCGTGGTGGGCGCGGACGTGGACACTGGTGTCGGAGGATTCCTTGCCGGAGGCGTCGTGGGCGGGGATGTGAACACTGGCGTCTGGGCAGGATTCGCTGCTGCGGCAGCTGCCGTTGGACGTGGTGTCGGAGGACTCCTCATAGGAGGCGTCGTAGACGCTCTCGTTGGCGCCGTTGGCGGCGGCGTCACTGGGGCTGGCGTCGAAGAGGGGACTGCTGGGGATGTCCTTCAGGGGTTGGGGTATCTGTTGGGCTGGGTGGTATGACTCTTGCGGGCGCCCTGGCGACGGAGGGCCGGGGATGGTGTCCATGATGATTTTGAAGAGCTTCTGGGATTGGGTCAGCTCAAGTTGCCTGTGTCTGCGACGGCGATGCGACATACATATGCTCCGGTACATGGTCCTATCTGATTTTCGCTGGAATGGGCGGTCCTTAGGCTTAATCTTCTCTGGGCTTCTGAATCTACAAGATATAATGGGATGCTGAGGTTAGCGATGTCTGTCTCGTGGGATGGAAGCGGTGGACCTGCAGGATAATATGAAAGAATACAACGCCGCTGCGATTCCAAGTGATGTTGGTGTTTTCCGGAAGGACGGAGAGCAGAAAACTGGACTTCATCCTGGATAGACGGGGTGGGTTTCCTGATGGAAGGGGCAAGTAGTCTTGAAAGGTAGCTGCCCGACCGACCGCCTGGGGTCGGTTGGTAAGGCTTTCTTTCCCTTCCAAAATGACGTTGATGAGCCATGTTCTTCAAAACAGCACCAGGGTTCTGGAAGGGACAGGAGACGAATGCCTTGGGGGTGGGGGTTGCAGGCCGGTGAAAGGCCGTGGGCAAGATCTGTGGCTGTCCCCTTCACCCACCCATGGCAAGCATTCTCTGGACATCGCGACAATATCCTGGCCACAATGCAGCTTTCATGAGAATTCATGATGCCGGGCAGCGTAAGATATTCCCGATCCATCGATTCACGGTAAAGCCAGCCTCGCTCTGAGGTCGTTGAGGCGTTGCCCGGCCAACCACGGGCAACAAATGAACATGGTACAAAAGGGGCTCGACAGCGACACCAGCTGCGACCGTCAAGACATGCACAGCACCACTGGAGAGGAAACCATGCAGAAATCAATGCATTGGGCTATCTCGGGACCTGTTAATCTGCTGAGATGGAGTCAAGTCCTCCTAAAGCCGGGCCCTCATCCCCCTGGCGCCCTTCCCTCCCGGCGCACCATTCCCTTCCTGGCCACTTCCTTCCTGGCACTCTTCCCTGCCAACCCGCTTCGCCGATCGCGTTGTGAACGCCCCCTTTCGGCTTCCAGGTTGATGACATACCTAGATCCCAGACTCACTCTTCGAAAACCATTTCTTCCAGCCTGGCAAGTGTCTTCAGGGCTGTTTTGGTGGACACAATCTCATTGAGCAGCTTTCTACCGGTCTGGTGGTGCTCATCGGCCCAATTGTGCTCGGAATCGCAGATGTATTCCAGTAGAGCGTCCGCATCAGTAGAACACTGACAGTCCTCCGAGTTGTCGCGAATTCCCTCGAGATCGTGCACGATAGCCATACGACCCTTCTCCTCCTTTGAGATCTCTAGGCGCATGAACTCTCTCTGCGCACGAAACAGCTCTCTCTTCTGCTTCGTGATCATCAACTTGATGTAGTCGGCCTTGAGCGCTGCCACGGTGTTGGAAGAGTCCAAAGGTGCCTCCGTCGTCGCCCTCTTCTTCTTCTTCTTCTTGGTAACAGTACCTTCGGCAGCGGTTTCAACAGCGCTCTCGGGAGCGGTAGTCGAATAAGAAGCGGCCGAGTCCGGATGATCGCGATCCTCCATCGCAGCTGCCATTCTCTTCTTCTTGGTGCCCTTTGCAGCGAGCTTGGTAGCCTCTGACGGATGCCGCTCATAGTAATGGCCCTCTCGAATCGCAGATGGCACCGAGAGGATCTCGGCCCTGGTGTGCTTGATGAAACGCTCTGTGTTCCGCCTGTTAAAGAACCCTCCGAAGCCGGCGTACGCAACGGCGGCTTCATGGAAATCCAATGCCTCCATCAGACTCGCAACCTCTGCATCCGGGCCCGTGACCTCATCGTGTCGCTCTATGTCCTCGTCGCCATCAACATCCTCACCCTCCTCGTCGCCGTCCTCCTCCTTGTCCGCATCGCCCGGCCCGTCTTTCCAGAGCATGCAATCAATCATATCATCGACCATGCTAGGATTTCTCGCGCTCCAACCGGAAATCAAGCTAGTCGCATAGCTATCGGCGTTGTGATGCATCATGTCGATGAACTGGATGTAGTCGGGAAGCGCCGTGGGGGCGAGAATGGGAGTCAGCCTGGCAGTGAGCTTGGTAGCCATCTCGGCGGCGAGCTTGGTGGTGATTGCCTTGGCGACCTTCGCAACTCCCAAGTCGGCAGCCTGCTCGGCGTCGAACTCCTCATGCTCAGGATTGAGGCGATAATCCCAAGTGAAACCCTCGCTGTCGGCTTCGGTTGCCATCTTGTCGCCAAGGAGAGGAGAAATGCTAGTGTTTTGTCTGGTCAGCTCGAGAGATCTAAAGGCCACGCGAAGAAGGTATGCTCGTCAATCGGGCCGTGAACCGGCTCTTGGGCCTGGTGAGGGGGTCACAGGCAGAAATGGGGCTTCTTACCTGCTGTTTGGTTGGAGATTTGGAGTGGGAGAGATGGTTGAGAAAGTGGGAGAGCGGATGAGAGGGTGAGCGAGTGATGAGGTTGGTGGCGAGGAAGAGGGATGGAGACCGAATGGGTAGCTCGGTTGGTGGTGAAGAGAGAAGAAGAAGGAGGGGAACTTGGTGGTGGAAGATTGGGAAATCTATACCTTGATCCCGGATGGGTTGGAAGCTGTGTGGAGGGGGGAAGGTGGTCGAGGAAAGAGGCAAGACTGCGAGACCAAACTTGATAGGGTAGGTGCGAGAGATGGTGCTGGGCTTCAGTCTGCTGATGGTTCTGGGGTGAGGTATTGTCTTCAGATGAAAAGGTCAGATGAAAAGGTGTCAATTTATGGCAACGGTTGGGGAAAATACGGCAGGAGGAGTAGTGAATGCAGAACCCTCCCGAGCCTGTTGGACCAGAGGCAGGCCACGGCAACCTGCAAACTTATGTGTCGTCACGAAGTATATTTCCGCAGACTCCCGATCCTACACCTCCACCATATATCCAGGAAGAGCACCCTTTGGACGATGCTCTCCATCGACACACCCATCAACAGAACCCGACACCCCCTTCCCATCCGGCCATCTGACAACCAACCCATTCACCCAGCCCACCCCAACACCCTCGTCAACCCTCCAACCTCGCCCACCCTCACCAAGACAGCGCATACCCCGCTGGAAGATACAGGAGACAGATGAAGACCTGATGGAAGGTGTGGACTGGAGGATCTGCCTGAGAAGAGGGCACATGATCCAAGGCGCTGGGCGACCGGGTACCGCATCCGTCTACCCTGGGTCACACTGGCCAGAACCGCTCTATTCAGCACATCCAAACACACCTCTCTCCCCCCCCAACACCACGAACCAGGACACCCGCAGTCTCCCGGTCGCTACCCCATCATCCTGACCCACAA